ACACTGTCAGTAAGAGTGGGGTGTGGACCCTGGTGTCCTGACTACTGGTCGCTAGACCCCAGGACACTGTCAGTAAGAGTGGGGTGTGGACCCTGTGTCCTGACACTCTTACACTCTCAGCTGTCTGTGTTGGGTTGGTGTCGGTTCTGCATGCGGTCCGATTCGGTCTGACTCGGTTACTCTCTCTTTCCTAGGAGCGACTGCGGCGACTCAATCACAGCGTTGCGAAGGAGACGGCGCGCAGGAAGACCATGCTGGAAACAACTGGAGCATTCGTGCCACGCTCTCCCAGCAAGCCATAGCAGTGCACAGACACACACACAAACTCACACCAACACACAACATCACACAGTGAGACACACACATATGCACCAACACACACTCGCACACTGCCACTCTCCCAGACGCACAGACTTGTGCACCGTGATGCACTGAGACTTGCTCACACTGACACGTGCCACTGGACATCCGTTTGCCTGTCTGTGTGAGGACACGCACACTCCCAGAGATTTGTAGATCTATAGACCCGGGGCTGACTTCCACCGGGGGGCCGGGGGGCCCTGCTCCTCCCACATCGACAGCAGGACTCCCACACACGCAACACTGACAACAAGCTGCTGTGTCTGGGCTGTAGTTACTGATGCTCACCACCGGGTGGCAGTGTTGCTCTTCAGTGAAGGGCCCCACACAGACGGGCTGTAAACTGTCCTGCTGTTTACTATTAGCAGTTTAATTTGCATTTATTAAAATAAAATATATATTTTGCACTATGCAGTTTTGCAAATGGGATGCAGAGCCTGTGTGATCCAGACACGAGATGAATTGAGCTTTGTTTCAGTCCGGCTGGCCCTGCTATGCAGCTGTAGTGTAGAGGTCAGCTGCCGTCGAGTTCGCCTCCGCCATGGTGTCGAACCCGGGTCCGGAAGCGCCGGGGCGTACGGGCCCATTGGAGCAGCGCCGCAGCCCCAGGTGTGAGGACAACTCGGGCGGGACAGGAAGAAGGAAGAGGACGTCTCCGCCCTCTGGTGCACTGTGGGAGGAACTGGTGCTGCGCTCCGGGCGCTGGAGATGGGACTGATCGTCTGTTCGTTTGTCGGGGCGCGTGCAGGATGTATGGCGATGTCTTGTGAATAAACCTGTTCCTGTTTGAGTCGACATGGGTCCGAGCAGCTGTGCTTTATTTTCAAGAACTCGTGTGATGTCGGATCTGTGCTGCTTGGGCTTCTGGGAGCTGGTCCCTGACCTTTGACCCCTCCCTGAGAGAAAGGAGAGACATGGAGAGGGGGATAGGAGAGACATGGAGCGGAGCGGAGTGAGAGGAGAGAGGGATAGGAGAGACATGGAGAGGAGTGGGAGGAGATGGGGACAGGAGAGGAGAGAGGAGGGGGAGAGAAGAGAGGAGTGAGAGGAGGGGACAGAAGAGGAGAGGGGAGCAGAGTGAGAGGAGAGAGGAGGGGGTGGGAGAGGAGAGGGGAGCAGAGGGAGAGGAGTGAGAGGAGGGGGGCAGGAGAGGAGAGGAGCAGAGTGAGAGGAGGGGGGCAGGAGAGGGGAGTGAGAGGAGGGGGCAGGAGAGGGGAGCAGAGTGAGAAGAGAGGAGTGAGAGGAGGGGGCAGGAGAGGGGAGCAGAGGGAGAGGAGGGTGGCAGGAGAGGACAGGCAGAACAGCTGACGATGGGGACAGAAGGACGGGGGGAGAGGATAGGGAAGGAGAGAGGAGACGGGGAGGGCGGAGGGGCCGGGCGTGGTAATCTCCACGGCGCCACCTTAAAAAAACAGCCGGGACTCCGCCGCCCGACCTGTCAGTCACGCCGCGACCCAGACAGACCCCGGGGCTCGAGCGGCTGAGAGGCGGCTCGCCATTGGCCCGGGCGTGGGCGGCCCGGCCTCAGAGCCGCGCTGCCATTGGCTGGCGACCGCCGAGACACTCACGCGCACGGCGTCTCTCCCTTTGTTTTTGTAGCGAGCGCGAGGAGCTGCAGGATGCCCGGCTGGAGTCGGAGAGGCTGAGACACGGAGGACTGGGATCGGGCACAGCAGAGAGGGGGGAAGAAGACCGATCGGGGTTCCCTGCGCCACTTTCTGCTGTCGCGCTGCTGTGCCACACCGATGTGAAAGTAATGCCTTTTAAAATCGATCGATTGATTGACTTCTCTTGCAGTGATCGATATTCCCGTCATTAACCGTTCTCCCGCCCGCGTCGCGTTTCTGCCTCCAATCGCTGGCCCCGAGGTGTAGGACTCAGTCCGAGACATTCAGAAACAGTCCGCCCCCGGCTTGGACCGGAGCTTGTCGTCAGAAGAGCGGTGCCGCGGTGCCGGTACCGACTGCGATCCCGCTCCTCCGCGCTCGTCAGATGGCCGGGTTTTGGGCTGGAAATATATAAATCCAGCCCTTCGCTCGCTGAAGTGAAGTTCAGAACAGTTCGAGGGTTTTCAGTCACCAGAGGGCCCGAGCCAGGCGAAGTTAAGACACTCTGTATCTCCGTCTCAGTCTAAACCTCTGCCTGCCCGTCTCTGTCGTGCTAACTGTATCTGCCTCTCCCACTGGGCTGTACTGTACTGTGCTTTTACCCTGATCGCACTGTACTGTGCTTTTACCCTGATCTCACTGGGCTTCACTGCACTGTACTGTGCTCTTACCCTGATCTCACTGGGCTTCACTGCA